ACCAAAAAAAACAAACCGAGCAAAGCTCGGTCCTCCGGGTACTTATTGTAAACGAAAGATTATGTTCGATATGTTACACACTATTTTCGTGACTTTCGAAAGTTTTTATTTCGAATAGATTAAAAATCAATGACATCTGATTAAAAATATTCAACATAACTCATAAAAAATCAAATTTTACTGTTCTTTATCATAGTGTCGTACATTTTAATGATGTCGCAGACCAGATCTAAACTATCACATCAAAACTAAATGAAATAGTTACAATACCTAAGCTAGGATTGTAAAAAGAAAGTCAGAATCATTTAAAAATGATCTGTTATGTGTTTTATTTCTATTTTAGGTAAGCTTCAAAACCTGAAGTGCTTGAAATATAAATCAAACATTTTAATCAATTATAATTAAAATGTTTGATTTATATTTCAAACTTCAATTTTTCAAGTAGAAGTAAAATTTTAATATACAGGAAAAGGTCCAAATAACTAAAAAATAATGAGTCAATAGCTATTATTATTAAATCAGATAATTGTGAGAACCAAAATGACTAAGTCCCTTATCAAACACTAACATATATCATGTAAGCAACATGTACACGGCGTGAAATGAGTGTTTCTGTATTTAATCCTATTCTAATTAATTCTATTCTAAGGTAATTTTCATAAAATTCTCATATATAAACTAAGATAACAAAAACTAAAATGGCTATTTATATTGCTTTCAATTAAAAGTTTTAAAAAGTTTCTTTTAAAAGTTGATTGTGGGTTTTGGTAACGGTCACCATATTATCTTTACATACCTATAAAACAAAGTCGCTTCCGATGTTTGTTCACTTAGATCTTTTAAACTACGCAACGAATATTTCAGCAATAGATAGAGAGATTCTAGCAAAAGGTTTATATATCGTATACGTCTCTTGAGAAGATACCGACAAGAAACTCAACAGTTGCTCTTTTTTTAAAGGTCAGTTTACAATATAATGGTACTCACGTAGGCTACAATGGGACTATTACACCTATAATAGTCCCACTCTAGAATACGTGAGTATCAACAGTATTAACTCCACACATTAGCATCGTCAAAATATTCAGCAACGGTATTATATACTTTAGCCATAAGTTCACTTTTTTTACGACAAGATGCTGTGAAAATAACTGAAGTAAACAAGTCTGACAGTGCCGATGTCTGATAGCTGCCGTAACCTTCCTAATTGCAAAAACAGCGGAGCTTAACCTATTCTTTGAAGATTATAGATAGAGACTCCACTGGAGCTTTGAAACTGAACTCCTGTTGAGTCTAGTATATTCTTGGAAATTTCCAAGAATATACTAGAGTCAACAGGAGTGATATGACTCAATATGTGATTGTCACATTAGATCAGATAGTCATTATCTCCATGTATTTCTCAAAAGTGTTTTTTGTCCGAATGTCATAGACTATTTTAAACTTTATCTTTATCGCTAAAGACAAATAGAATAAAATAATATATATATAATTATAATAAAATAATATGAAAATTTTTCATAAATAAACATTCATTCAAAAAACGATAATTTCGATAATCGATTGACAACTTGTTTAACACGTTGGCCACCAGCAGCCCACTCATGAGCGTTCTGTTTTGTGTGGCCAGTAACGCACCTCTCTTGCGTTTGGGATAGTTGGTATAAAAAATCGAACTTTATCAATAAACGCATCAGTCGTTTAAGAGAATGTTGCTATTTTCTTCGCTACCTAACCTAATTTATACCAATATATATCACAGCTAATGCACAATTCGAAATGACCTTTGTCAAATTATTCCCGTTTATTTGGGAGATTATGCTGTGATTTTCATTTAAAATTCTTCTGACATATACATACAATATAATACAATAGCAGGTACTTGTTGAACTGTGGCAGTCAATTTTTATGCGTTCAGCTACAAAAATAAAATTTTCCGACTATAAAAAATATACTAATTAATTATGTCAGGCATATTAAAGTAATTACGAATAAATACGAACTATACAATCGTACTCGTAAAAATAGGGACTTACATGACTTTTTATTAAAATAAAACATTTGTTTTTCAAAAATAAAGGCACGTTTCCAGGTTTAACTTCGACACACCGACGAAAATCACATACATTGTTTTTTCGCATTTCTTTTTTTTTTTTTTTTTATATTATTTAAGACACACCAACAGTATACATATTTACACAACTTACAAAAAAAGGAACTTGTTTGAACTTGGGGCAATTTGTTGAGTTATTTAAAAGTTTGTGCAGAAAAACCACGTCATGCATTTTACGACGATTGTTAAGAGTGTGCATCTTAAAAGAGTGAAGCCGCTCAGTATAATCGCACCGACGGGAAATCCCTTTTGTTGTTGATGCCAAATGCCTTGTAAATTTACGTTGAATGTTTTCAATTCTCTGTGAGTGGACGCTATAAAATGGACTCCAGATAACGCAAGCATACTCAAGAAGACTTCGAACTAATGCGTTGTATAATATAATCTTGGTGTATGGATTTTCAAAATCCCTAGTGGTCCGCCTTAAGAATCCGATGAGTTGAGATGTTTTTGTAACAACATGGTCTATATGAGCACTAAAGGAGAGTTGTCTGTCCATGAGAACACCAAGATCTTTTATTTCTGTAACCTTTTTTAAATATTTGCTGTCAATTGCATAGGAAGACTCGTTTGGCTTCTTTTTTCTAGTGAACCGCATGTGGAAGCACTTGTTAATATTTAATTTTAATTCCATCCCGTTAATTTTACACCAATTATCTACTCTATCTAAATCTTTTTGAATTTGGCTGACATCAGTAAATGAATAAATAGTTTTATACAGTTTTAAATCATCAGCGAACAGGAGGTATTTACAATGGAATATTTCTGCTGTAATGTCATTCATAAAAATTAAGAATAGGATTGGTCCAATATGAGATCCCTGTGGAACACCAGAAACAGCGTAATAAGGATTTGAGTGATATCCATTCACAAAGACTATTTGAAGTCTTTTTGCGAGGTAGGACTCGAACCAATTTAACAAGGATCCCTGAATACCAAAATGTTTGAGCTTTTTAATGAGTGTGGAATGACTTACTTTATCGAAGGCGTTTGCAAAATCTGTGTAAATTGCATCAATTTCGTGGCCTCGATCCATTTCGGTGCATAAATCAGACACAAAACACGTTAGGTTGGTTACAGTGGAACATTTAGGGCGAAAGCCATGTTGATGAGGGGATAGTAATGCATCGACGTGGTTTGTTAAAAAAGGACAAACAAGGGACTCGAACAATTTAGAAAAGCATGACAAGATAGCTATCGGGCGATAGTTTTTAGCATCGTTACGTGCGCCTTTTTTAAACAATGGTATAATTTTAGCTTTTTTCCATTCGTCGGGGAAGTAAGTCGGGTAAATATTATTGTTAAAGGCAGCGCTAGAGCTGAACCGCAACGTGTTATAAATACTGTAGGTATTCCATCAGGGCCTGGACCTTTAGAGCTGTCCAGCTTTTTGATTTTATTGATTACTTCACGTTCGGTAAAACAAAGACTGCTGAGACAATTGCCATGCCCAGGGAAGCCCGTTTTAGGTGTAATAGCTGTGGTAAGTGTACTACGACTATAGCAGGAGGAGAATTGGTTTGCAAATAAGTTGGCAATTTCAATGCCTGTGTTTGCAGTGAAGTCGCCACATTGAACTTCAGCGGGAATAGAAGACACTTCACCGGTTTTGTTTCTGACATATTTCCAGAAATATTTAGGATTTTTAACTATATTTCCTTCTACTTGTTTTTTTGTAATAAGAAAAGCAAGAGTGGTATAATTTTTGACAGTGGTTACGAAGGGCTTCGTACGATATTAGATCAATTGGGTTTTTATATTTTCGGTATTTCAATCTCATTCTTTCCTTTTCGGCTAATCTTTTGATTAATGATATGCTAAACCATGGTGGAAATTTGGACTTGCAAGCTCTTCGTTTGGGTACATATTTGTCACATAATTCGTTGATAACTTTATAAAGTACTGAAACCATTTCATTGAAGTTACCACATACGGAGAATTCAGTTGCCCAGTTTGTAGTTTTGATATCCTGGATAATTTTATCATAATCTGCTTTAAAATAGTTAAGAGTACTAGCAGGGAAAGGTCTTAAACTCGGATCGTATTTCGCGCGTGGCAAAGTCACTATTAGTCCAGGATGTTTTTTATCAAGACTACATAAAAGGTCGGTAGTATTTTCAACAATTATATAAGGAAGGTTACTTAAAACAAGGTCCAAAATTCTGTTATCGACATTTAACACATTGTTATGCTGGTACAAGTTATTAACGGACATGAAGTCAACAAAAGCATAACCTAGAGAGTTGTGGTAGTTCGTAGGATTCATGAATGAAGACGTATCATTTTTTTTCCCAGTTAATGAAAGGAAGGTTGAAGTCTCCTAGTATTACTATGTCATCCACCGCACCGATGACGTCGTTTACTTTGTCAAGATATTTGTTAAGGACATCTGAACGGAGAGGAGGAGGCAGATATACAACACATATAGCTATTTTTTTCATTGAGCTGTTGATGTTAAGATAAATAGTTACCCATAAATCCTCACAGTCGCTATCCCAAGAATCAACTCGAGTCGATGGAATATCCCTAGAAATTGCAATTAACACCCCTCCCCCATCTTTTTTCGGGTTGTTAGTAAGTTGACGATCCCTGCGATAAACAACGTACCTTGAATCGATGAACTCCCTACTCATTACTGTAGAATTAAGCCACGTCTCCGTAAAAGCTATAATTTTATAATTGGAATTCAAAACTTTTTCGTAAACTAAATGAGTCTTTGTACAAATACCTCTGACGTTTTGATAATACATATCAAGTTTATAATCGTATTTTAAAGAAATGTAAGCACCAAATCATTGATAACAAAATAATTGAAGGTTTTACTTGATGAGCTTAAGAGTATCGTGGCTGTGGACGAGTAGAGCTTGGCACGATTCATCTTTCCTTACAAAAATACGGCCATTGCGTACCCATACAAATTTATAGTTGAGCTCCTTGCATTTTTGCGAGTAGCAGCGTGTAGGGCTTTATTGCTAGGTGTAAGATGTTCGGCGACGAAGATTGGTACACGGGAGCCTCCCAATCCAAGGTGATGCGAGCTCAATTTGTCGTTGACATTACTTTTGTTGAATTTTATAACCGCAGCGAGAACAGAATCACGTTGGAACAGAAACTCGTTATCCACCTGAAGTTTAGAAATAAGCGTTGATTTTTCTTCTATGCAAGACTTCAAATCGTCATATTGTTTGCTCATGAAAGTAATTGATTCCTGATATTGAGACATTTGTTGTTTAATAGCTTTTAATTCTTCCGTTATCTGTACATTCACAATACTCATCAGTTCTTCCTTAATAGTTTCCCTAATACTCTCAAGAGTAATACCCGTGTCAAGGTATTCAATTATTTGCCTCTGCTTAGAATATCTAACAGTAACATTCGTATTTCCAGGTGACTTGATGTGACCCGAAGCTACTTTTATGGACTCCGAGTTCGGTATGACCGCACGAATGGGCGTGTTAGTGTTATCTAATTTGGGTTGCTTGTTGCGGCATTCGGGACATTTCCAAGTGCGTTTGGATTCTTTATCCATGACATGAAATCTCTTCTCTGATATGTTGGCTCATACTAAATCGTACTTCAGTGCACAGAAGGAGCATGTTAACAATTCCTTACATTTTATGGTGCTCTTACATCCGGAACATATATTTGTAGAGTGGGAGGCCATTTCGAGAAAAAGAAAAATAATATTAAAAAAAAAATAATAAAAAAAAATTGCAATTTATTTTTTAAATAATACGAGTCTAGACAGTAGTTGACTTTAGAGCGATTATAGCGCTGAGATGGACTACGCGCTAGACGTAGATTATAGCAGCATCGAGCGCAGTGTGAGTTGTCGTAGGTCAGTTACGCATAATAACGTAGAATGCTTGAAAATGTTTTCGCTGATTACTCACGAACCACGAATCACCCAATAAAAACAGTTACACCAACAGAAAGCTGAGTTTACAAGCTTCACGAGTCACTCGGTCATAACGACAGAAAACTGTTTAAACTTTTATTTACGAGAAATAATTACGGAACTAAACAAAATACGTTGATTTGTCACAACTACCTCCTAAAGTCCTCTAACGATAAAATTTCTAACGATGCTTGGCACATCTATTCTTCATCGTGACTGTAACGAATGGATGACTACTCCCGGAGTTGCCAAGGTATTGGCTTCGATGCCAGCGGTTGTGGATACGATTCCCACACGAGACAACTATTTGTGTGTATTTAGGTCCTAGTTGTTGATGGGACTTCCTACCCAACCCCTCCCACACAAATCATAACATATCAAAGTTAGTCTATTTTTCTTGTAAAATTAAACAAAATGTTCGTATGGGTTTTACATATTATTTTAATAAGTACAAATCCATCAATTTACAGGTTTTATTCGAAGTTAATATTTTTTAATGCATTGGCATTTCAACGGGTAGAGGAGCGATAGCGTCGATTGGGTTGACCTGGGGAGGTAGGACAGCGATGACGTCGACTGGGTTAATTTGGGGGGGCTGGATAGCGATGACGTCGACTGGGTTAACGTCGATGTTCTCGGCCTCCTCCACAACAGTAACGGGGGTGGGTTCGATTTCATTCAACACGGGCTTGGAGCCAATCTGCAAAATGTGAAACGTGTTAACTCCTTAGCAGCGTAATTTAGAACATTTATTTTTTTATGGGAGAAGGTGGCAAACGAGCTGGCGGTTCGCCTGATATTTAGTGATAACCGCCGCCCATTGACATTTGAAACACCCGTAGGTTGCAGATGCGTTACTACGTTTTAGACGCTAGACGAAACGCAGAAGTATATACTTCCATTTCAAGCCTGTCTTCTATGAGGTCGTGGCACTCCCGATAAGTTAAATCGTTATATTATGTTAAAGGAAATTTGATGTTACTGAATAATTTCTTGTTCAACGCTAAGCTTAGTAATTTGTTTGTAGCACTCGCAGAAAATGGAAAAGTATAAATAGTTCAAATCAACGCGAAGTCTTCTGTTAAGCCATGGTACCTATCCGTTCGAGTCGAAGCATTCATGCTGCATTCAGATAAACTGAGTGGTACTAAAACAGCATACGATATTGTGATCCACTCACCTGTTGCTGCTGTTTGATGTTGACGATGATCTGGACGAGCGGGCTTGAGGGCGCTGGTGCGGCCGGGGATTCAGGGGCGACTGGGAGGACAGGAGTGGGAACTACGGGAGTGGGAATGACGGGGGTGGGAACGACGGGAGTGGGAATGACAGGAGAAACGGGCGCAGGCGCAGGACCGACGGGTGCCTCAACTTGCACTGGCGTAAGACCGACAGGAATCACGACAGGGATGCTCGACTGGAAAATATTGAAGTGATTGCAATATTTACAAATCCCATTCAAACAAAATCACATACACAATCATTTTGTATGCTACATATCATCAAAAGTTATGAGGGTACAGATGAACATACCGGTCAATAACATAAACCACCGAGGTAGTCGGGTTAAAAAAGTAAAGTCTATATATGTCCAACGACTGGGCAAAGGCCTTCTCTGTGCAGAAATTATTAGGGCATAGTTTCACGACGCCCCATTGCGGATTGGCAGACTTCACATATCTTCCAAATATTTTTTTTGTAATTATTTCGAAGATTCGCAGTTTCCTCACGATGTTTTCCTTCATCGCTCAGCACGTGATAAGTTGGCACTTAAAATTAACAATTTCATTCGTGCCGGCACCGGGAATCGAACTCGCTTGCTCGAGTATATTGAATTAATAGCGAGCGCACGGACAATGAGCTATAACGGCTCGGGTAATATTGAATATTTTTTTTATGTGAAAAGTTGCCAAACGAGCAGACGGTTCATCAGATGTTAAGTGATTACCGCCGCCTCTAGACATCTGCTACACTCGAGGGTTTGCAGAAGCGTTGACAACCCTTTTGGAAATTGGGCTCCGACTACCTCACTCACCAGACGAAACGCGAAAGTATTTCTCATACTTCCACTTTACGCCGGTCTTCTGTGAGGTCGTGGTACTTACCCGAACGAGCCTGCCCATTCGTGCAACAGCCGAGGCTGCTGCGTGGCTCTACCACCGTTATATAATAATTATAAAATAAAAAAAAAACTTACGATTTGTTGTCCGCTGTGTAGGGCATGCATTATTTCGTTAAGAGCGCTCTCGAGGTAAGGTACCAGAGCTGGATTGGTGGTGGGGTCTTCAAGGGCAGCCGACAGTTCCTCAAGGGTCCAAGTGGTCGTGGTAGGCATAACAACGGCTACGGGTGTCTTAAAATAGAAAAGCAAAAACATATATTAAATTCACTCTCTCAATATTTTTATAAATAAGATTTCGCTATACATGTTTTGAAAAGCAAGTATCAATGGGCGGCGGTGATCTCTTACGATGCTTCCTGATTTGCCTCCTTTCTCCATAAAAAACTATTAAGAGTATACATATAATTCCATATTAATTACTTAAAATAAACTATTTACTTCGTAATTTTGTTATAAATAATGACTAAATTAAGATTATATGATATGCTAAACATATCCATGTACATTTTTGGATATGGAGATTAACAGCCTATATATATGTCCAACTGATGGGCAAAGACCTCTTCTGTACAGAACGTACTACGGATAGTCCACCACCCTCCGCCAACCCAATCCCACCGCGGATTGGCAGACTTATCATATCTTCGGAATATTTTTATTTTACTATTTCGAAAACATGTACACACATGTCACACAACCTAGCGATTTTTTTTTCCACCGCTGAGTATGTGATAAGCCTAACAATTTCATTGGTGCCAGCGTTGAGATTTGAACTCAGATTCTTCGAGTATTTATATTGAACTAGCTGCTGCCCGCGACGTAGAATAGGCTGAAGGCGTAACATTCAGACAGAAAGACTTGTTATTCTGATGTATCGGCTATATTATTGTAAAGTTTCATTAAAATCCATTCAGTAGTATTTGCGTGAAAGGGTAACAAACATCCATCCATACATACAAACTTTCGCTTTTATAATATTAGTAAGGATTAAAAAGGAACTCCTTGGCACTGAACTATCAAGGCGTATTAAATCCGTCATTTCAGGCATTTTGAGCCTGAAATATAGGCTAGTCCCACAAATCACTGAGCCACCGGCATCCATCGACTTCCCGCACACTTGTACAGATCGTCACTCCATCAAATGGCGGGTCGTCCTACACTATGTTACATAATAATATATTTTACCACTGGATTGCCGGCGTAGATGTTTTCCATGATCTGATTGAGAGCATGTTCAAGGTAAGGTAAGTATTCAGGGTTCGTCTCTGGGTTCTGAAGGGCGGAAGAGAGTTCTTCCAAGGTCCATGACCATGGGGCACCTGCAGCCAGGGCCAGTACAGCGGCGAACACGGCGAAGAATTTCATTTTTATTTAATCTGGAACACAAAAATTCGATTTTGTTTCAAATATCACCATCACAATATATCATATCAAGTTTTTGATTTTAATAGCACTTATTATGTTGTATTTAGAAGATAAAATTTTTTTCATGACACTAAAAACCTATTATATCTTCGTAACTTCTTTACCAACTAAGAAAGAGCATTTTATCCAGAAAAACTTTTGCACGAAGCATTTTTGTTCATTTATCTAAAAAAAAATCACATTTTAAGTTTCATCTACTTTCTGTTTCATTAAGAGTACTACAAAAAATAAACTACTATTAATAGATTACTTTGCATATTTGTTAATAAATTTGCCTTACGCCCGGTTTCTGAAACACTCATCATCGTAGAAGTCAACTTATCAGCTGTCAAATGGATTTTCAAATGTCATTTGAGTTGCCAAAACTATTGTTAAACTCTGAATTGATCAGAACGATCTTCTTAATGATCAGAATAACATTTGAAAATCCATTTGACAGTTGGTTAGCTGTTGACTTCTACGATGATCAGTGTTTAAGAAACCGGGCGTCAATGTTTCTTAAATTTTACTAACTTACCTTGTTTAGAAACAATTTGCTTTTTTACCAACAGCAGGCAATATATATACTACAATTCTTTGATAAAATGATATCTTTGAAGTTTAATTGCTAAAGGATTATTTATCCATATCTATGGAAGCTCATATTTTTTTATTGTATTATAAATTATGATTACCGGTACAGTAGTATTTGTTACGTCATGGATAACAAAATATTGCCATGTGTATTTGCTTCTTGAAGGTGGTATACGAACCCAGTAAATTACCAACCAGTCAAACGTTGTCGGACGTTGAAATCGGTTTACAATTCCCGCAAGGCATAACATTATATTGGATGACTATTGATGGACACAGAGACATGAAAGGTAAATAATTATGAAAATTATTAATAGCTATAAATTGATGGCGCAGTCGCTAAGATATTGTCTTCAGCGTCGGGGGTCGTGGTTTCGATTCCCAAACGGGACAGCTATTTATGTAACCCACAGACAGCTGTTTCACATCTGGGTGTTTGTACACATGAAATATATGTTTGTACAATGTCCTTACAATACAGGATAATGTTATCTTAAAGTAAAGGCCTAAAAGAAGTCTTAAAATAAAAAACTGAAAATAATAATAATATATAATTATAATAATTATTTCCATTTTATAAATTTTAGTTTTATATAAACATCTCTACTATAAGGGTATCCTACGACAAAACCTTCTCACCTCAACATACAACCTGTGCCTTGCAGATTCTAATCCTGCCATCGGCGAAAATTGTGCGACAGTTTTATCTAAAGATTTTATGTTTCATTATAAGTGCATACTCTAGCACTAAAATTAAATATTAAACATAGATCTATGCTAACCTAGACTGGGTTTTTAACAGTGAAATAACGTACACGCTTCAAAATTAAAACGAAAACTGCTCTTGTCAAAGAAACTCCTTCTTTAAAAGTTTTAACTTTCCTTTTTACTCCTGAATTACTTACCTATTAATATTTAAATACATTACATTCTATTTTCATCCCATAAGCGAATCGTGCTATTATATACAAATAAAAGGTAGATAGGAAAATAGCGAACCGTAACTGAGGCATTCAAATTACACCAATTAGTATAGTTACATTGTAACACTATAGTCTACTATCTCTTTACGTAGCATACGTTGTATATCATCTGTCACATTCACATTTCATTATATATGTCATTTATAATGTAAAGCGGAAATTTTTTTATTAGTCGCCGCGTTGTAAGCCGCGCAGTATGGACATGCGTCAAATTTAGTAAAACATCATTGGCTAGTTCGTAAAGGCCAGGTTTTTTTATCGACCACAGTCCTGTACAATGTATTGAAGTGACGAGACTGAGGCGGCAACAGGTTCGTGACCGCAAAGGAGACGGACTATTTACTTTATTCGTCTTCGTAACCTGCAATTTTGTTGCGCAGTACGGACGGGCCAGTGCGATCATAGTGGTCAACCCTCCTAGGGAGTAAGCACCGAGATCCTTAACAACTATTCTCTTAAGCCATAATCCGTGGGTCACACAAGTACTTGTCCCGCGTGTGAATCGAATCCACTACCCAAAAAAGCAACACTCTGTTAGAATTTATTTATTTAAAATAATAAGTACCCAGAGAGAGAGAGAGAGAGAGAGAGAGAGAGAGAGAGAGAGAGAGAGAGAGAGGAAGAGAGAGAAATTACATGAAAAATATAGCTTTTTCTACCGGATACTACTCTTACGACCGATTTCAATATCCTATCTACAGATAGATTACTAGCGATAGGTACCGATTTGACATTAGCTCCTTAATACTTACATCAAAATTCTATCTCCACTAACCAAATCTATTTGTAGATTAAATATTGAAACCGGTCGTTAGAGTGGAAAGAGTCTTAGGAGGCCTTTGTCGTAACCAAATTAATCGACCTTTTCCCCGCGGGCATAGATAGGTATTTCTCCACTCGGATAACAAAACGTACATAAATCCACGACTTTAAATCGCAAACCGACATCCAATCAATTAATTATATTTTAAAACACGAACGGTATTGAGTCCCTTTTGGCTTGCTTTATTTATTATCCATAGAGCACATTTATCAGTAGGATTACTCTAATACTGCTATAACGTTTTATTGGTAATGATATCACGATTTCCTCATTGTTCTTATATCGCGTTTAGAAGTTTAGTTATCGATAATATTCATTTAGTGAATAACACTTTAAAGTTCATTGCTTTTAGCAAGTAATTATGTTCATGCGCTACTGTGTTAAATCGTAGCAAGTCGAGACAAAGAACGGTGCAAAAATTTTAAAACAATCAAAACAGAGTTTCGTACATCCATAAACGTAAATCCAAAAAGACGAGTTTAATTTTAGAAGACTGTATGGTAAGACAAAAACTGTGAATGTGCGGAAAAGGAAATGAAATTACAAAGTTCACAAAATGGGGCCAGCTAAGTTTTATGAACAGATTTTACTTGTGTATCTTGTATTAACTGATGTTTTTGCTTTCAGTCCCGAGACTATTAAAGCTTCATCTGACGCAGAACCGATGGGCTAGCCAGAACCCACAGGTTTGGGCCCTCCGCTGTGGGTAGGGCCACGCATGTGCTTATGCGTGCGTTTAACTATGGTGTGTCATCTAAGGGCCATCGAGGTCGTGGTTCGGACCGAAACCCCGATGGCCGTCGACTGTGCAATTAGCTAATCGTTGGCTGGGGGCGGTGAGAACCGCCCCGGAACGCGGGTGTACCTTGCGTACGCGTTGTGTTGGTCTCGCCGTGCTCGGAGGCGAGGGCGAACTAGTGTGTTTGTTGTTGCACTAACTGTGGGTGTAGTGTTCTATTTGCAACTTGTACAAGCGAGTAGGGTGCGTGTGGGCGAAGGTCATGCATGCGTAAGACATAATAGGTCGTACGCAGGTCTTATATAATAATAATTTGTGCCTTAAGGGCATTTTACTTTTAGCGTTAGTTAAGTTGTGTAGCCGGCCGGAGACGAACGCGGCTCTATTGCGAACGTTATTAATGTGCGTAGTAAATGACATACGCAAGTCGAAAGTGACTCCTAAGTATTTGACCTTTTTCTCCCAGGGGAGCGGTTGGCCATAAAGGGATATTTGCCCCAACTTTCTGCATTGACGAGGGCCATTATAAAGATGTGACGGGTAAGAGTCGAGTGGTTAGTTGTCTAAGGTTGCGGTCTGAATAAAAGAGCGCCGTGTCATCCGCGAAAAGCGCGAGATTGACGTGGGGGTGTTTAGGTATATCGCTCGTGTAGAGCGTAAAGAGCAAAGGTGAGAGGCAGGAGCCTTGTGGTACGCCGGCGGTGAGGCGGCGGCTTGTGGAGAGGTGCTTTCAACTCGATATCGAAAAGAGCGGTTCGACAGGAAGGCCTGGATGGTGTGTACGAGCCTATCTGGCACTTTGAGTGTGTACAGCTTGTAAAACAAGCCGTTGTGCCAGACCTTGTCGAATGCTTTTGCGACATCGAAGAAAAGAGCCCCTGTACTAATATGTTTAGGGTGATTTAGGCCTTTTAGGATATGTTCCGTTAGGCGGAATAGTTGATCGGGACAGGAAAGTCTAGCTCGAAAGCCAAATTGTTCCGCCGGCAGAAGGCCGTTGGAAAACACGTGCTCATTGAGCCTGTTTAATAAAAGCCGCTCGTAGAGCTTCCCCAGGCAACTGAGGAGGCTGATGGGACGATAACTAGAGGGCTGGTTGGCTGGTTTATTAGGCTTGCGAAAGCCGATAACCCTGGCTTCTTTCCAGTCGTCCGGAAAGGAGCAACTGGAGAGTAAAGTATTGTAAATGGTCGCCAGTAAACAGATAAGCGGCCCAGGGAGAGCTTTAAGAATTTTGTTACTAATATTATCTGGGCACGGGGCGGATTTGGGTTTTAAGTTTTTAATAATATCTTGAACCTCTTCGGGGGTCACTGAATTCAAAGGATCGCCTTCCGGTGGAAGCGCAGCCCTAATCTCGATTACGCGGTCCACCTCCGTTAGGTGGGCTGTATCGATGTGTTCGCACGATGGCGTACATTGCTGCTCTAGGTTGTCCGCAAGGCATTCGGCTTTTTCGGAGTCATCTAGGGCTACTGAAGCGCTATTAGGTCTAACTAACGGCGGTAGAGATTCGCGGGGGTCTGCTTTCAGACTGCGGACCAACCGCCAGTAGGCGGTGTGCGATGGCTCGATGTCCTCTAGGAGAGTGTCCCACGTTGTATGTCGATGTTCCGATACACGATCTTTGACATCTAGCTGAAGGCGTCGAAGTAGGGTTCGGTTCGATTCCGATCGGTATCGGTCGAAAGCGCGTTTGGCTGCATTTTTTCTGCCTAATTAGGAGTCGCAGGTCGGGCGGAAAGTTAAACCGTCGATCGCCCGACAGTTTAACCGTCCGTTCCGAGTCTGCGACTGTGGAAGTGATGGTTTCTCGGAGACT